GCGTTCGGGGGGCCGGCGCGCCCCAGGTCTGCAAGCACCTGGCGGAGAAGAAGACCATGACCAACCCCACGACGGTCATCGAGATCTACCCCGACACCAGCGAGGTGAACGACTACTACCTGTGGTCCATCTTCAACTTCGTCTACCTCAACTTCTGCTGCCTGGGCTTCATCGCCCTGGCCTACTCCCTCAAAGTGAGCGGGGTCGGGGGCGGGCACGGGGGGCCGGCAGGAGGGGCGGGAAGAGCCCTGGCTGCACCACTCTGCCCCCCCCTCAGAGAAGCCGTGGTGCAGCAGGTGCAGCCAAGGGGGCTGAGGACTAGGACGGGGAGGCCAGCGAGGAGGGTGTGGGGAGCTCTGGGCACCCCCCGCCCCATGCTGAGCTGGGAAGCTCCCGGGGGTCTTGATTGGGCTCTGGGTCCACAGGGCCAGGGTCTCTGTGCTGCCAGCTTAGGGGGCGGACTCAGGGCCCAGGGCCTGTCCTCTGGGTGGGGGTGGGGGCATTAGACCTGGACAGCTGCCCTGGACGGATGGGGAAGTGGAGGGGCCTTGGAGTCCTTCCCCCCTGACAGGAGGAGGAGATGTCAGGGCAGCTGGAGACCTTGCCAAACCCCTCACTGGGGAATCTGACACAGGGCAGACATGCGGAGGGCGGCCACACAGACTGGTCACCAGTCACGGCCCTCCCCCTCCCCCTTCTACACGTGGTTCTAGACAGTCTGTCCAGTGTCCGGGAGCCAGGGAGAGAGCCGTGAGCACATCCTCTCCCATCCACTCTGAGCCCGCAGCCTGCCCAGGGGCATGGCCCCCAGAGCCCCTCGCTGCTCTGAGAGGAGCTGGCCAGGAGCAGACAGGCCCCCGCCACGGGCAAGGCAGAGACGGATCGCAGGAGGGAGCTGTGACTGCTCACACCTGGGGTGGAGAGAGCGGTACACGTGTGTATAAGGACAGAGAGCCCAGGGCCGCTGCAGCCCTGCCCCAGGAGGCGGTCCCCATCTCCCCGTGGCTCAGGAAGGGCTTGGCCTGTGTCTTGCCGGATCACCCTCTTCCCAGATATGATGCCCAAGGTCGGTTCATTCCATTGGTTGCAGCTGACCAGCAAGGCAGGGACAGAGGGGGTGGGGAGGGGCCCCTGGGGGCTGCAGGGAGGGGAGGGGCTGGGCCAGAGAGGCTGGGGGGGGGGAAGGACGTGGACTGTTCTGTCGCTGTGCCTCTGTCAGCCCACCCGCCCAGGCACCGCGCATCTGACCACCTGGCTCTCCCTCCTCCTGACTCACCCTCAGCATCAGCATCGCTGGCCACCTGGCTTTCCCTCCTCCTGACTCACCCTCAGCATCAGCATCGCTGGCCGCCATTCATCCCTCACATTCCGGCCTGTGTACCTGGTCCTGGGCTCCACCACGTGGAACCATGTTATGTGAGTGAATGTGCGTGAGCGTGCATGTGTGCACAAAGTGCGTGCATGCATGCAGGTGTGCGTGTGCATGCAAGTGTGTGAGTGTGTGTGAGCACATTGAGTGTGAGCATGAGCGTGGACATACATGCAGGTGTGCGTGTGCATGCGTGTGTGAGTGGAATTGCATGTGTATGAGCATGTGTGCATGAGTGGTGTAGGTGTGAGTGTGCCTTGTATACTTATACATGCACGACCATGTGAGTGCATACGTGTGCATCTACTTGGAAGTGTGCATGTGTGTGCCTGAGTGTGGGCATGCATATAAGTGTGTGCTCGTCTGTGTGTGCATGCGTATGTGCACTGAGTGCATGAGGTGTGAGTGTGTGTGAGTGTGAGTGTGTGTGTGTGCGTGTGTGTGTGTGTGTGTGTGCTGCAGAGGCAGCAAAGGGAAGGGTCCCTGGGAGCTGAGGGTGGAGACTCCCAGGCCAGCCCCCGCTCGGCCTCCTCTGGTGCCCACAGCCTGTGGCAAGGGCCGGCAGCAGGGGCTCCTGTTCGGCAGCGTCCCTTCTTCCTCGGCCTGGCTGTGGGCGGCCGGCTGGCATGGGGCAGGCCCATCTGCTGCGGCTGTAGGTAGGTCAGGACTTGCGTGGTGCAGGCTTTGCGGGGTGGGGGGCGGGTCAGAGCTGGTGCTTCTGAGGGGCAGGAGGAGCTCGACGCCTCCACCCTGGGCTGCTCCCCTGCATTCTTCCTTGTGGGCAGCGAGGGGCCGAGGCTCAGGGCTCCCCTGGGAGGGCGCGCGAGGTGAGCTGCCTCCACACGGGCGGGGAGGACAGAGCTGGCGGCTCGGGCTCTCACTCTGGCGAGTGCATCCATCTGTCCACCAGCTGCACCTCCCCGCCTGCGGCACCCACAGCAGTGCCGCGGTCACGGCCCCTCCAAGGGCACCCGCAGGCTTGGGGTCCGGAGGCCTTGGCTGCGTTCCCAGCTGGTCCCTCCGAGCAGCGAGCTCTGGAGACGCCCCCTTGCTTCCCTGAGCCCATCCTTGATCGCTCACAACCAAAGAGAAACATCACAAGGCTCACGTCAGCCTACATGGGCCGGGCAGAGGCTGGCGTCCTGTGGGTGTCCCTGCCTCACACATCTGTTTATCCACCTTCGCGCCACCCGTCCGGCCCTCCCCCGTCGCCGGGCAGCTCCGCTCACTGCAGCCGGGTCTGCCGTGAGGGTGCAGCCTGATTTTGCTCAGCCCAGTGTCCGGGGGAGGCAGACAGGCATTAGCTCTCTTTCCATGCCGTCTGCACAAGCTGCCCATCATGACCACTGCCCCCCTCAGTACCCCCTGGCTTGGCATTGAAAGCCCCCTGAGATCCATGCTTACCCTCCCCTGGCCTCGCCAAGCGCCCGAGCCCAGCCGTCCTGTGACACCTCGGTTTGCAACATGCTGCTCCCCCAGCCCGAGGGCTTAGGTAAGACCCAGTCTCTCTTCTGCAAATACTCCACTGACCCCCTCTGGCCGAGCCCCTCCCCTGCAGACACCCCATCCCAGCCATGGCTGTCCACCCACCAGACCCGTCCCTTCTTGCTCCCATCCATGCCTCAGGCAGGGCTGGCCAGCCTAGGGGTCCAGGGGTGCTGGGTTGGGGGTGCATGGACAGGACAGGATGAAATGAGCAGCCCCGTGTTTCAGAGAAAGAAGATGAGGGTGAGGTTGGGGCTGGTGCGGGACGCTGCTAGCATTGAAGGACAGATGAGGGGACAGGTGTTCCCGAAGGAGAAAACAGAAAGACTCGAGGGTGAGGCAGTCGGGGAACAGCCAGGCCCTTGTGCTCTGTGGGGAGCAGAGGAAGATGGTCCGGGAAAGGCAGGCAGGAGGCGCCCAGTGAAGGATGGGGACCACCGGTGAGGGTTTGCCGTTCATCACCTGTGAAACGCAGAAGGGAGCGGTGTGAGCAGAGCTGTCAGTGAGGAGGAAGGCGGTGGGAGAAGCCCAGAGGCAGAGAGGAGGTAGGGGCCTGGGGCGGGGGTCCAGGCGACAGGGTATGCGGCTGGACCCAGCACAGGGGTGGTGACAGGAGAGGAGCCGATGTAACGAGGACGTGACAGCAGCTCAGTGGGCCCAGGAGGCTGTGCGACTTCTCAGTGACAGGAAAGCCAGAAAGGACAGATGGGGGGAGGATGCTATGTCAGCTTTTGTATTGCTCATTCCCTCCTTCAGAACATCAGCACCACCCATCCACACCCACCCTCCATCATCAATCACCCACCCATCCATCCATTCATCCATCCATCCACCCATCATCCATCCCCCATCATTCATTCATCCATTCATCCATCATCCATCCAACCACCCTCCATCAGCCATTTGTCATTCATCCACCTATCTATTCATTCATCCACCCATCCATCCATTCATTTATTCATCCACCCATCATCCATCCCCCATCATTCATTCATCCATTCATCCATTCATCCATCCACCCACCCATCCATTATCCATCCATCCATCCATCCATCCATCCATCCATCCATCCATCCATCCATCCATCCATCCATCCATCCATCCATCCATCCATCCATCCATCCATCCATCCATCCATCCATCCATCCATCCATCCATCCATCCATCCATCCATCCATCCATCCATCCATCCATCCATCCATCCATCCATCCATCCATCCATCCATCCATCCATCCATCCATCCATCCATCCATCCATCCATCCATCCATCCATCCATCCATCTAACCTCACTTTCTCGGTAACTTGTTCCCCTTTACTTACCAGCTCCATCCCATCCCCCATCCACACATCAGTACATCTGTTCATCCTTCGAGCCGTCTATATCCCTTGTCTCCGCTGCTCTTCTAGCTGCACCTCACTTTCCAGTACCCGCTCATCGCGCTCACCTTTCCATGCATCTTCACTCATCTGCACCCTTTGACCCCACCCATCCATCCCCTATCATTTTTGTCTGTTTTCCTTCCCTTCTCATCCACCCATGTATCCAACTGCTCATGTACCCATTCATCTCGTTTGTGTATTCTCTTGCCTTTTTCTTTTCCTCCTCTCCTTTCACTCCACATGCTGAATTCATTAATTTACCAATCCATCCATCCTCCATCCGTTCGTCTATCTACCCACCCACCCTTCTGTCCATCCGTCCTCTCATCTGTTCATCTGCCTCCTCTCCTTTCACTCCACATGCTGAATTCATTAGTTTACCAATCCATCCATCCTCCATCCGTTCATCTATCTATCCACCCATCCTTCTGTCCATCCGTCCTCCATCCGTCCTCTCATCTGTGCTCACTGCAGCCATTGATGCCATTCGTCCATCCACCTACCTGTCCACACACTCACCCATTTTTCCTTATGAAACTTTATACCGATCTTTCAATCCATCCCCCGCTTTCCTCCCACCCTCCCTCTGGACCCTTTGTTTATTCAGTTCATCCCAGAGTACCGTCCGTCGCACCCCCGTCGTGCATCCATGCCCAGCCCACCACCCACACACCCATCCATCTCCCCAGCCTCACTGGTCTTGTTATGCCTGCACCTCTCCTTCCTCCTTCTTCCCATGTCTCCGCACCAGGGATCCATCCATCCGACTGCCCTCTCTGTTCTTCCTCTCCCTGCTCTCCCTCCTCTGTCCACCGCTCCCACTTTCTGAATAGACCACACAGCCACACACCCCATTGTTCAGGCGCCTCTAGTTTACAGCAGGGGTTGAACCCTGGGGCCTTCCATCTCTCCGCGCGAATCCTGCTCCTGGTGAAAAGGGGGACGTACCCCCTCAAAGTGTTGTTGAGAAGATTCACTGAGCGAAGGCCAGGTCACGCCATTAACCCAGCTCCATGCCCGTCGCCATTTCTCTTATTATCACTTTCTCTGTTACTTCGCCCACCATCCTCCTCCTCCATTCTTACCGCCATCACCTCCACCCCTTCTCCTGCTGGTGTGACGTGCCCATCCCTTCATTCGTCAGGACACGTATCCGTCGCCTTCATCCACACGTCCATCCCTTTCCCAGCTTCGTGTCTCTCTAGCCACCTCCCTTCCACTCCCTCTTCCCTCGCTTCCTCCTTCTCTCGCTCACTTTAACTACGTATCGGTTTATTAATCCACATAGTGAAGAAAATGTATTTATCTGCCCTCTCTTCTTCACAGTTTTTCTTCCTTTACCCCATTTGCCCAACTTTCTATTTCATGCATCATGTACCCTGTTTTCTCCCCACACACGTAATGATGTGTGTGTGTGTGTGTGTGTGTGTGTGTGTGTGTGAGGTGAGAGCACTTCAGATCTCCTCCCTCAGCCACTTTCAAGTACAGAACAGTATTACCAACCAGGTGTTTTATATAAACACTAGAGGCCCGGTGCACAAAAAATTGTGCACTCGGAGGGGGCAGATCTCCTCCCTCGGCCACTTTCAAGTACAGAACAGTATTACTAACCAGGTGTTTTATATAAACACTAGAGGCCCGGTGCACAAAAATTTGTGAACTCGGAGGGGGGGGGGGGGGGACCCAGCCCGGCCT